GAGTTTGACTTAGATTAAATGCCTAAAACTCTTTCATCATCACACGGTTCCAATATGAATTTTCAAGAACCCTTGACGGTTATCTAGAAAATAATAAATATGCAAACTCAAGAGTAAATCCAGATTATACAAATATTGCCAAATTATTTCCCTAGTTTTGTTCAATACATTTTTTTTGTTTTGACATATACCACCAATAGTTTTGGCAAGGCGAAACAAAGCACTCGTATTTTAAATTAATACTTTCAATATTTTTTTTTAGTTTTTGAGTAAATCCTTCAGGATGAAATATGAAAATATTAATGCACTTTTGATGGCGGGACGCAAAGAATATAAGAAAAGGGATTTAAGTACACTAAGAATCCTCAGTAGAGTCACCGAATACTTCTTTTTAAGAATGCCTGTCATTATTGCTCATACGTTCCTAAATTTCATTTACAAAAAAAAAATAAAAAAAATAAAAACGACAATTTTTAAGCTTTTAAACCAGATACCTTAATTATTTAACCCGATAAGGCAATCGAAACAAAACACAAATTAGGCCATTCCAAGTTTTTTCTCTGTTTAGCGTCCACCTAATTACCATTCAAAAACCTGCCTATACCTTAACCCCCCCCCCCCCCAAAAAAAAAACAACAACAAACAACAAACACACACAAATAAAACATATAGTCATAAATATATAAAAAATATAGTCATAAAAACGACGTGAGATATATATATATATAATTTGACGACTCTAGACAAAGATAAATTGATAGAATTTTAAGTTTCCTCCACAATAATCAATTTTGGGACTGCTGATTTAGTGTTTTAACTGATCTTGGGTGTCAAATACCAAGATGCACGCGGATGTTAAACATGAAAAATAAGACTGGGAAGTGCTTTAAGGTAATTCGCTAAATTGCCCCATTCTCTCTCTCTCTCTCTCTCTCTCTCTCTCTCTCTCTCTCTCTCTCTCTCTCTCTCTCTCTGAATGACAATCTAAAATGACAAAAAGATTAAATATACATGCACAATATCTATTGACTGGAGATACAGAGTTCGCTGACAGCTCATGACACATGCAGTAAGGGCAGAATGCCCCCATTCATACACTGTAAGCAATCGTTGAAGAGGAGAGTAAAATATAAAAGTGAACTGAATTTAATCACGTGATATATAAGTCTTCGCTTTTTTTATATCGATTGCAAAATTTTAAATTTAAGGCTACAACAAGATTTTAAAAAACAAGATGTGTTTGTGAAACACTGATGCCCCCGTTTGGCAACTTATAGCAAAGGTTAAACGTTTTCAAATGGAAATCAAATATGTTGGTAACCAAAGTAAGGTCTTGTCTCGAGGAATATACCTGTAAAATTTGAAAACCCTAGCAGCAACATTGAATAGATATGGAAAAGGTTAAAGTTTTTCAAAAGTAAATCAAACAAAGGTCATGGTCAAATGGTCAAAATTAATGGTGCTCAAGGAAAGGCCTTCTCACAAGGAATACACATGTGAAATATGAAAGCCGTAGCACCAGTCGTTCAAAAGTTATGATCAAGGTTAAAAGTAGGTCAAACTCTAAGGTCAATGGATTAAAGTTTTTGGTATATAAGGAAGGAAGGTATTCTCACAAGGAATAGACATGTTAAATATGAAAGCCTAGTACCAACTGTTCAAAAGTTATATCTAAGGTTAAAGTTTTCCAAAAGTAGGTCAAACTCCAACGTCAAGGTCAAAGGGTCAAAGTTGATGGTATCCAAAGGAAGGTCTTGTCACAAGGATTACATATGTGAAGTATGAAAGCCCTAGCACCAACCGTTCAAAAGTTATGGCCATGGTTAACGTTCGGTAAAATTTTGCAAAACTGGGCCAAACTCCAAGGTCAAAAGGTCAAATATGATAATGCCCAAAGAAAGGTCGTGTAACAAGGAATACACATATGAAATATGAAAACCATAGCTCCAACCAATCAAAAGTTATGGGCAATGTTCAAATTTTTGCGGACAAACAGACAGCTAGACAGACGGATGGACAGAGCAAAAACTGTATATCCCCGAATCTTCGATACGGGGGCATATAAATAAATAAAAGAGAATAATAGTAAAATAAAATACCTTTATTCATACGGGGATTAATGATTTGATCTATTACAGACTGAAATTACATAATTATGAGTTTATGTAAATTGAATTATATATTTTTCTGCCATGGCAGCAATCGTTAATTCCCGTATTAACAAAGAATGCATAGTATTGATTAGCCTAAATACTTTTCTTGTCAGTTTTATCTTTTTATACATTGAATCTAATAGAATTTGATAGAAAAATAAGAGAAAAATGATTTAACCTAGGGTCAACAATTTAACAATTGATAAAAAAATCAAAGCAATTTTTACCAAGTGTCTACTGAATTCTGTTTATCTGTTCATTCATCCGTGACCCTCTCCATACACTTGAGCTGACAGGAATCCAGTGGAATTTTATTAATTAGATAAATACTGCATATAAATTATTGTAATACTTTTGATTATAACAAAATTTCAAGATAAAAAACGGATGTACATGAACGTATTTACTCATGGGAATATGTTTGAGGTTATTTCATCAAAGATAATTTTACTTGAAAATTTGATCCTCAAATGTATCTAGCTGACGCCTCTTATAGAAAATACCCTTGTATATTGACTGATATATTATCTGTCTACATACCCCGGTATATTAACTGATACATGTATATTGACTGATAAAATGCCAGTCTATATAGGCCGGTATATTGGCTGATATACTGCCAGTCTACATACCCCGGTATATTGACTGATATATTGCATGTCTACATATCCCGGTATATTGATTGATATACTGCCAGTCTATATAGGCCGGTATATTGACTGATATACTGCCTGTCTACATATCCCAGTATATTGACTGATATACATGTACTGCCAGTCTATATAGCTCGGTATATTGACTATTATATACTGCCAGTCTACATACTCCGGTATATTGACTGATATACTGCCTGTCTAAGTATCCCGGTATATTGACTTATATACTGCAAGTCTACATACCCCGGTATATTGACTTATATACTGCCAGTCTACATACTCCGGTATATTGACTGATATATTACCTATCTTCTGACATGCTCCCTGTCATACTTTGTTGGTGTAATGGAGTTCAGGAGGATGAAGCTATAGCCACAATGATGATAAGACAGAGGGCAAAAACCAATTCTGCAGTTAACCAGAACACCTGATACATTTACCTTTTGGTTACGCTTATGCAACATGCACACACAAATGCAAAAAGGCACTACATGTTCATATTAATTGATATTTTGATTATTTATATATATAAAAAACATAATTTCATCAGGAAAGATAGACTAGTTATGATTTACATCTTGAAAACTCTGAATTGGCATGACTCGATATATTTGACAAAGATTGGAAGCGTACAACATTTTGGTTCCATGTTGTTGAAGAAAATATATTTAATCAAGTTCCCATAGAAAAAATAAATGCATCCCGTGGTCTTTGTCTTCTTATATTACTTTTCATGAAACTCTTATCTTTAGTGTTAGATAAGACAATTCGTTTTATTAAATGTTAATCATTGGTGATTTATGTAGAGAACTAAAAGTTTTGAATTTCAAAAGTCATAGAATGTTATCTTAACAGTTTCATTTCAGTTTCGAATTTCCAATCTCTCAAGCGATATGTCGTAAATATGCAATTTGTACATTGATTACCACCAACAAAGTCAATATAAAACAAACTAATATGTTACATCGTGTTTGCATGGAAATTCTTCTTGGCTATCTTTAAAATGAATATAGGAAACAGTTAAAAAGAATAATTTATATTTCTAATGTTTGCACGATTTCTTTCTTTCTAAAAAATCTTAGTGTACTTTGAACTCTCATAAACCTTTTCCAAAGAAATTTTTTTGGGGAAAACTTGCACCCTTCTTGAAGATTTCAACATCCCATTATTTTGTCATTAACTCGGATTACACCATAGATTTTTAAAGTGTAATGATGCTCACATGTATTGAAATCTCCTTGATCTAACCCCAAAAACTTCTGGAAAACATTCAAAGCTGGTGTTCCCAGATGAATTTTGATGTACAAAGAGGAAAGAGAAAAATGATTCCAACTCATCAAGATAATTCCCGATGACAATCTTATTTATTTCTTTTAAGAGCGCTTGTCTCCAACGAGCCCTTATTGTTGTCTTCGCTAAATAAAACATCTGCCCTCTAACGCTTATGACAAAGTTCTCATTTTTCAATGTTATCTCCTCGCGATACAAGACATAGGTATGTATTAAATGAAATGTATGATTATGTTATGAGAAAACATTGATATCCACTCTTCTCTTTTGATAAAATTCAAAGAATGTTTATATTTCTGAGCGGGAAGCCTAGTAAAGTGTTCATATTTAATTACACCGTAGATCGGTATGAAATGACGGGACTATCGGCTCGGCTATCTTTGTGGCTGCACAGGGAGCTTTCACTGAATGATAACAGGTTAAACTGAGACCCGTAAAAGATAGGCAAAGAGTAGGGGCCTATAAGATCAACAGTCAATCAATTCGGGGTTCCGTATATATCAGCAAAACCGATATAAAACATTCGTCATGCAACAAAATTAATTGCGGAAGGGATCCATTTGCACTGAGAATGCTACAAAGATGATTGACAAGAGGTCATCGAATGAAGGTGAGAATAGCGAACCATTGAATGGGAGGAAACGCTGTGTTGATATAAGCTTCCCCCAGAGACTTTTTAGCGGCGAAAAGGTGACGCTGATCAAAACATTGCAAAAAGAGGTTATCGCCATTTATCGAAAATTTACCATGTGATTTCGATAATTTACTTAATTAAAGATTACACAGTTTTTTTGACAGATGAGGTCACATCTGTAAGGTATAACATACGTTTAGACATATGGTTTCACTAAATTTACTGTTATCTTTATAACCTTTAATGAGGTTTCAAAAAAAATTTACTGTCTTTAAAAATTTAATTAGGAAGCACTTTAGAAGTACATAAAATATTTTACACATATGCACAATATTTACAATTTTATACGTACAAAAACAACGTTCTTTCAACATCTATAGAAGGATACTGGTTTCAAACATATGCTTGTTGGAGAACAAATCTTTTTGTCTGAAATGCCACAAATATACAAAACAAGAAAAGATTAGTTTCTTATAAACAGTATCGTGTTAGTTGAAACAAGAATTAGGTTCCATAGCTCTGTTGAATAACGGCATCACTGTTCTCTAAGTCAAAAAAACATACAATTTAGCGTCTATTGGCTTGTTCCCGTTTATCTAGAGATTCTGTGGATGTTGACAGAGCTTGGCGTCGTCAAGGTACTGGTGTTACTAGGGGCCAGACTGGCTTCGCTCTCAGTTATGCTTTCAACAGAATAAACACCGTCCCAACATTTACAACTGTCCTCAATTAAGCACATAAAAACGGACAACAAAATCCCCCGCGAAAAAAGAATGACAACCAAAATATACGATGTTGTTTCTGTCAACGGGTCTTGTGCTGTGATGACGTAGATTATGTACCCGGATGTGACGTAGCAGAAAACGATCAACATTTTGTACGCACTTTGTCTGATGTTCATCAGTTCCATGGTCAAACTTTTATTGTCGGAAAACCTTCGATGAGTTTCATGATGTTTGTATTTCCACAAAAATAAAATTAACAGTAGCCATGACAGAGAGATTAAAAACACATTTATTCCTTCGATAATCCAGAATCCAGATTCGGGTTTGGTAAATTCCAATTCGCCGTTGATACATTTGAGGTTCCCGGATAAAACCGTGACACTTAGCCAGATAATGGTGATAACTGTGGGTATGAACCATCCCAAAAGACACAAAACGTAGTACATTTTGTTCTCAATGACAATGCCGCTTTTTGTCAACAAAAAGTATACAGAAATTATGGCCAGCCAAGTGTAAATGGCGGATGACGACAGTGTCACAAGCACACCAATAGAAACACATGTTTCAATGTCGTTTATGACATCATCTGATTGGACAATGCGACCCATTCTGATCACAAGTTCCAAAGCGTCGTGAACCAAAAATGCTGCAAAGCAGTTCCTGTAAAGTTTTTTTCGGGTGGTCAATGCGCCTCTTGTACAAAACGTAATAACAATGGATGCCAAAACCATGATTAGTGACATGACCAACAAAAGAGTGGACAAAATGTCTACACCATCACTGTGGTATGGGAGTATGCCAACACTGACGGACGAAGGCTCGGAGGCATTAAAGTTTTTGTCTGGGGTGCTATTAGTCGGAGCAGGTACAGGAATATCATACTTAAGTCCCAAACACTCGGAATAATTTGTCCAACCTGGATAAAAATTCTTCGGGAATATCTCATTTCCTGGATGTTTCCCGATCCACTTCCCGTCTCTTCCGCACGATTTTGTTGCATATCTATTGGTCGGAAGTCCAAGGTATTTTGGACATGGCAATTTGGTCTCTGATCCAATTAAAGTAGGTGGCCAGCACAGAACGGAATCCCAGGTGACATTACAGAAGAGTTCCGCGGGAACAGTGTAGGGCGCGTCACCCTGGCTTATGAGACACTCCTCAAAATTAGAGGGTCGCAGGGACAGCTTGCTCATTTTCCAGCTGCCTGTATCATCGATGTTTCCCAACTGACAGTATTTTCTCTCGACTTAGGTTTCAAGAAACAACAGGATAAGAACCATCAGAGCGTATAATAGTAAAAGTTTATCGCAATCGCCTCGGTGTCTTATTTTCAGGCCTCTGAAGTGGGCGGCAACAAAAGATTTACCTCGGCCAATGTGATAAGACTTTCCAGCGTCAATTCTACACTGGGGAATAGGCTTATAATGATGTTTAAATTGAGTGAATAACAAATGCCCGTCAACTGTAGGTTTCCATCACATTACCGCCTCAGATAACGCAAATGAGGTTTATGTAATCCTGCTTGTCGAAGAATTGCGGAAAATCTCGAAGATCAGCACACTTTTTCTTCAGATTTTCGGCGGCCAGAGATATTTATCAGATGCAAACTAAAGAGGTGATATGAAACTTTTTTGTTCTTTGATTTACACTTGAGTTGTTTATTGCTCTTAAAGGGACATATTCTCGTTAATTTTTTAACTGGTAGAAAATGCGAAAATAAATGCAATTCAAACTTTTGCAGAAGATAATTTTAAAAAAAAAGGCAAAAACGATGTATGCCGAATTTCGATTGTGTATAATTCAATCTTGTTTCTTTTGGGAGACGGTCATAGTATTTAAAAATCAACTCGAGCACTCTCATAGAAATAATTAAAGCTCAAATTTTAAAGCATTTCATAAAAACCGCATATACTACATTGTATTATAAAATATTTTGGGTTCTTTGTCTATAAGTTTTTTTTCTGCTTGTGTATATTTTTAACGTTTGTTTATAGGTCAGCTAATTGGTATACAAGTGTCATATTAAGTTTCGAAAAATACATAGATTAGTCAACGCTGTGTGGTAAGGAATTCTTTTGAGACCCATGTTTTTGCTCCTAATTATTTAATTATCGTACATGAAAAAATCTTGTTTCTCTGGAGATGTGAGGATTTGCACTGCAAAAAACACATAGAACTGACCCTTGGTTGTTGAAAAACCAGATTCAATGTTCTTCATACAAAGAAGATGAAAAGAAGCATAAGTCGCCGGGAAGGATCTGTTACTCTTTCATTTTGTTTACAAGCAGGCAATATGGCTACAATTTCACGTACTTTTGTATAAAATCCAGCCCCAATAAGTATTATCCCAGGTGCACATTGCCGGGCATTATTTATTTTACTGAGATAATTACGAAACCAAAAGTTAGTTCAATTGTTATAAAATATAAAACCTGCCTTCTTTTTCTCTTCATTTCCCTGGCAACTGATATCAACAATACGATAATTTACAACAGACCGAATTCAAAAGAGTATTACAGGCATCTGGAGATGTAATTAATTATCATTAATGTCATTCCCCCTTCGCGTCAAGTGTAAATCGGTGGTTGGTGGAGGTCTTGGACTGTAGTCTATGAGCCGGTGAGGACAGATCTAGAAGGCACAAGACACAGGTGCGCTTACATCATTTGTAAAATGTACTCACTACCCAGGCTGTTTTTAACGTCGGAATTTACGAAACGTTCTCCTGCAAGATTACATTATATCTGTGTACAAAAAGTTAGTCGAAAGGTACATGCATTATACTCTCTCGAGCATCTAGAAATTAAAGTTTTAAATCTAAATTTCGAGGAAATTAATCGGACAGGTGCACTGATTTCAGAGATATTCTAAGGAGTATAGAGAATACCTTGGTCCTGACAGGGATGAAGTTATGTAATTCCAGACTCCATTCTGTGGCACTTTGAAATAATTAACTGTGTGTTTTCTGCCATTCATCACAAACATGCGTGTTTTATTAAAACTTTGTCATTGATAAGAAAAAAAAAAATTACAAAAAAAATAATAATAAAAAACAATCTCGGAGTTTTTCCTCCCCCTAATGTCAATGCCCCGTAAATGTCTTTCTTCCCTCCCCACACCCTCTGAAACGGTCGTCTTAAGATTTTAAACAGATATCCCACTCTTAGAAGTTTTTATGTAGAGGGTAGTCTTTCTGTTTATACTTTAAACCCTTTTTTATGCTGGCAGGTATAAACACAAGAAAATGGTCATGAGAGTTTGATTGCCGAAGAAGCCACATGGAATGTCAAGATTCATAATCACATTCGGTGTAATGCTCCCTTGAAATTGCAGCACCGCCTCGTGGTACAATGCCAAGATGTCGTTTACTTAATTCAGTAGATGTTGATTTTATGTTTTGTTTTAGTCTCAGAATGACGACCGCTTGTCCAAACAAATGTGTCTTCATTATTGTTATAATTAACATGTTTGCAGACTTTTTCATCTTATGAACTGGAGTGCGTGATCTGGTATTTGATATTCAACGTTCTGGAGACAAAGAATATATATATATGAAGCCGAAGACTTACTATTTTAAATTTCTATACTATATAGAACATCGTACTCTTTATCCTAAATTGGACGTTAACCTTTGCGACAATGGAGCAAATGGTATTTTTAGTCATTCGATTAAAGGTATTTTTGATGCATTTCCTAAAGTTAAACTTGATCTTCAACATATTGCATCTTTCAAAACAATAGATGATAGATATTCATACCCTTGAACATATATGTTTTTTTGGTTATTTACAATCCCCAAAACATTAATATTAAATATGTACTGATAAACATGTGAAGGAATAAAGTATCTTTCAAAACATCAGTTATTTGTCAATTTCTAAAGAGTAAATACTTTATACCTTTTTCAACATTATCAGAGGGGATTAAAAATGGTACAAATCATATTCACCACGGTCTGATTAAAACCGTCCCCTTCTCTTTACACTCGTCAGAAGGGGCATAAAGGTGTTGTTTTAATCAGACGGTATTCCCCATTAAATAACGAAAATACACTTCAAATTAAATTAGATTTATATAATTATAATTATAACATGTTTCATTATGAAATAATAAGTCTATAGCATATTTTTAAAAATAAAAATAACATAATTTTGTCCCTTCACTTGGTTACATTTGAAATTGGGATATTGTACTTGCACATCAGTTTCAAGGTTATATGGCATAGCTTAATGAATATAAAGAATGAGCAGTACGCTTACATATAATAATGTTGAAATTTTATCAAAACTTTAAGCATATATTCTCAAAGATAGCGAAGAAAAGTCCAAGATTATAAACTTTTCCAACAAATAATTCTTTATTCAACTTGAAATCTTATTACTCGAAGTTGAAGAGGACTCACACTAGATTACATCTGATGGCAGGGGAAAAAATAAAATAACGAGCGGCACGGTTCTAAGAGGTGCGTAACATCCAAAAAAATTTATTACCAATGAGTCTCTTGCAAATCTTGATAAAGATCAGCTTATTACGCAATTAAAGTTAATGAACTGATAAACATATACTTGTGATCAAATATTATTTAATGCCAAACTGTATAAAATTATCAACTATTTATAGATTCAAAATACACTGTAACACTTACCGGTAATGATGTTTAGTTTAGATTATCTGATCGATCGAAAGGCACTATGGGTTTGATGAAATGATGAATTTCTCTTTAATTAGAAAGAATCGACTCGATATTGAAAAATCTACAATATTTACGCAATGATAATTGATTTCACTTACTTTATTCGATTATAAATTAATCTTTACGTAAACATAACAGTGCCTTGGATATTGATGGACGAATTATTTGTAAACTTGTATTTAGCAATCGAGGAATGCCATTTTATCAATCATCATTAACTAAATCTGCCGAGATGATTCCCTCCAAAACAAGAGGGAGCATTTTGCCTTTCGACGCGTGCTTTGATAGTGGCGATAGGGCATGACCCGAAAGCTTGTACATTTCTTATCAAAACGAGCGCTAAATATCCCCGCGTTTGTCTTTCCTTTTTTTTCACGGGACAAGATGGAATTCATCAAACGATGGAGAATCCAAGTGATTTGTCCGAGAATCTTCTGTTTCTGCTGGAACTCAGGTCCTTCTTTCAAGGAAAAAATATTGCAGGGAGAAAAATATATCGTAAACTGTTACTGTCGTTTACTTACTGAGCTATGAAATGTTATATTGTAAATGATAGAAACAATTATTTTCTACATTTATTTCTTTCGGAATTAGCATTTTAGAGAAAGTTACTACTAGACTGAAGCTAGCAGCCAATAACAGCAGCCACTAAGAACTACTTTTACAGGATTTTACTTTGAAACCATGTGCATGACTACTACAAGTGCAAAGCTTAATGTTCGCGTCAAAATATGCATCACGACACATCTTTTTGCTCATATCAGAAATTGAGAAAAATGGTCTGACCATCCCTGTATATATAAACAATAATTAACACCGTTCACTACCGACCTTTACCCAGTTTTAGTCACTATATTTATGTACAGTGTGTTCGAACGTTTAAATTACTTTTCTATTTGTATATTTGTAACTCCTGTGTACGACAACAGTTAACCAATTATAAACCGGAAATCGACCAAGAAAACACAAATTGTATATATGTCTCCTTTCATTAATTTACACGAGAGGCCTTTTATTGTTTCGGTCCATTGGTAAGGTTCTGGATATAAAGCAATGTGGTGAAATATAATGTGCTTAATGATTTTTCATTTTCTTTGTGAAATTAGGTATCTGGAAGTAGTTTTCGAAATTATCCTTCATAAATGAGAAATTGATAACCCACCTGTATGATTTTAAATTCTTTCATAAAATAATCACTAAATTGAATCATACCAAAATTTACTTAAAATAGAAAAATCAGTATTAATTAAATTATCCCAAATCATTTTACTTAAAATGTCTCTTGTGGAAACTCATATTATTTAATTTTTATTTGTATATAAACTCAAAAACACAAAGTACTTGTATTTCAATTATCGTCAGAATAGGACAACGTCAAAAATAAGCCAGTTTCATCAATTATACTTCAAATAAATCCAACATCATTTGATTCCAAACAGTACGATGTTGATCATGTTGATTGTTGTCAAACATAACTGTGTCTTAAGGGCATCAACCTTTTGTTCTCTCATTTCAAATTTGGCTTTGATGCTTATGATTTTTCAAAAGAAGTCTAATTTAAGATTAAATTACACATAATTTCAGCATACTTATAGTGCAGATAGAATTTGACTGAAATGGCCTTTCAACTCGACAATTTTACAAAGGAGTAATAGTCATTTACCAGTACATCAGAGGGAAAAGGGGGGGGGTCTTATATAAGAGAGGCAATGAACCTTAAAAAGTTTTCTTATTCAATTTACATTTCCGCCATTCCATTCCAAAGC